GGCCACTTCTTTGGGGTCCCGTGTTGGTCTTCCCAGGACCAAGCTTTTCCCAAAGGCTGGGAGGCTGAGGCGACCTTTTATATACATACCTAAAAAGGAAACATGAGGCCGTTCTCATACACAGGAATCCAGCACAGATACTTCTGGAATTATGAGGAGCACATCCTGATAAACCTCCTAAGTTGACAATTGTAACTAGAAAATGCATTTGGTACGTGTGACTTGTAGCAGACCCCAGTCTAGCAGCCCCGTGTACTGCACCATTTCTGTGGTTCTACCCAGCATTTCTAGAGAGAGAGTCCTACTGTGTATTGCTAGCTTGGGAAAAGAGCTAAATTCAAAAGTATGATTTTTTTTATTTCTTAGTTTTGGTCGGGCTTGGGATGGAACCCAGGGCTTCATGCATGCTTGGTTAGTATTCTACTCGGAGCCACATTTCCAGCCTTCTCGCAAAGCTATTTCATTGGTGTCTGAGTAAATTTTAAAAGTGACAATGGACCACTGATGGTTTGTGCCCATTTTGTGGAAAATGCTGCTTCAGCAGCCTGTGGTGCAGAGGGGGACAGCCAGATTTGATTACTACTGCCCAACTGGACTCAAGTCACTGCCACCAGCCCAATGTCCCCCTCGCACAGTACCCCAGGCCAATGAGGCCTGGGTACCTGCTTTGCCTTGGTGAACCAGTTTGGTTCTTGGTCTAGATATCTCAGCAAGTTAGGGTGAAGAGAAGGAAACAAGAACTGCAATTTTTGAACCCTTTTTAAGTGACAGCTACTGTGGTTGGTGTTTCCCACGGACATCTCAAATTTCCCCAAATCTCATTCATGTACTAGCTTCACGATTTCTGCCCTATTGGTACAATTCATTTACTTAGCATTTCTCTTTAAATTGATTTAAAAAGCGCACAATTTTGTTTTCAAAGGAAATGTGATATTATTTCCATAAATCACAGTTTGATGTGCGGGTTATATATTTCTAACATACATCAATTGTGAGCTATTAAAATATATATACACCTCCTAAAATCATCTCAAATGGCATCAATCACGCCAGACTTTGGGAAATGCTGTAGAATTTTAGCAAATGCTCACACAGCTCTGGGAGGATGAGCTATAGTATAGAAAAGAACTGGAGGCACACAGTGTCACCTGCCTCAAGTCCCACCTCAAGGGTTGGGGTTAGGGTGTGAATCTAGACTATCTACCTCCATATCCCAAGGGCCTTTCACTCTGATGCTTTCCAAACACGTTTCTAAAATCCAAAGCATCCTTTAAAAATAAAAATGTATGTGGGAGTCCAATATATAAAACAAATAAAAGCAGAGCTTTTGTGATTGAAGTGGGCCTGGGAGTCCAGAGCTGCTTCTTAAGGGCCTTTCCTTTTCCCCAAACCATCTGTTAGTGGTTCCTGAGGACCTTGATCAGAAGCCTGGGGCTCAGAGGAACATTCTTTTAAACCTGCACTCTGCCACTGTCTCATGTCTCTGTTCAATTTTTTTCTGTGAGCCACTTTTGGTGTGTGTGTGTGTGGGGGGGCAACTTTGGGGTGTGTCCAATCCTTTCTGGCTGGGCATCTCTGCTTTTGGACCTTGGCCATCCTGATATTTCAAAAATTTCCATCTTGCCATTTGAAATATTCCACTGGCTTTCTAAGTCTTGCTCTGACTTCACTATTCATTCATCAAACACCGATGTCTAAACTGTACCCAGATTTTCAGAGGGCATAAAGGGGGAGTGAGAGGAATTGAATATATTTCCTTTGATGGGTTCCCCAGTGTGGGAAACAGACACAGATGTGACCAACTGGAGAACTGAACACCTCCTGCTCTCCTAAAGCTCATTTATCACCTCAGTTCCTATCTTTCTCAGGGGCCTGGCTGCATTCTGTGCTTCGCACATTGTGATGCCAGTGGTCTTGCCTGACCACCAACTGTGGTTTTGAAATTACAGATCCCTTCAGCAAGCAGTGTCTGATAGAAATTTGGAGTTAGAATCATACCTCACTCAGACCCCAAATCCTCATTCCAATAGGAAAGGCCACGTACAACCATCCCAGCATCTGTAACACGAAACTCTCCCTGACTCCTGACCTCAGACTGCTTTCTCCCTCCTAGTTGAGTCTATTTGACCCCCTAACCAAGAGGCTATCCTCTCACTGAAGTGGGAACTCCAAAGTGGGAATGCCCTTCTGTGCCCAGGAAGAGAAGGACCTGCTGCCTTGAAAACATGCAGAGAATCTGGCAGAGTTCCAGCCAGTTCTCAACCTCAAGATTCTTAAAGGATACTCTACCTTGTGCCCATCGCCCACCTCGCCAAGACTGCTACCCTTTTCCCTCAGTCCTGGTGATGGTGCTGGTCCTCTTGAGATGCCTCATCTTTGGAAGATCCTGCAATATCCCCAGAACTTCACCCTTGGGGACTCCCCTGTGCTATAGGACCATGTCTTAACCAAGCCCAAGTTCCAGGAAGCTTCTGTCTTAGTAGGTCTAAGAGTCGAGTCTATTCTTAAACTCAAAACTACTCCAGTCAATCATGCCAGGTCTGTCAGATCAACACTAGTCAAGATAAACCCAGCCAGTCAACACAGTATGTACTCACTGTGTTCCTCTCCACTATCCCATCCCCTTAGCCAGGTAACAGTGGGAAGAAGGTAAAATCCAACAGTTAACAGGACACACTCTCAGCTCTCAAAGGAGTGTTTTTGCTTTGAGCTGAAATCAAAATTCCCCTTGAGCTAAGGGGCCAGAGAAAGAACCCCTTTTTGGGCTTGGGATAGCCTCGTTGGCAGCCAAGGACGCTGGGTCTGCTTTCCAAGACTTCTCAAACTGTTCTCCTGGTGTTGTATGACCTGAGCACCTCAGATCACAAAGCCACTGTGTTCCTCATATTTTAAGATCTGGTTCATTCATTCATTATTTGTTTCTTTTTTCACAAACCTGCATTGAACACTCTCTGTGTGCCGCACACCTTACAGATGCTCTCTCATTTAATTTTCTATGAGAATTTCATTCCAAAGATCTCTGTGCAGTATGGATACAGAACCCACTAGAATCATCTAGAATTTAACCCAGCCCCAATCCCAAGCCTGTGCCCTTTGCATCGCTTCCCCTTGTCCCTTACAACAACTGAAGACAATCTATAATAAAGGTATAGATCACTGAATGCTTAAACAAACATACTCTATATGGAGGGGAAGAGCAGATTAATGACTATTTTATGTCGGCCCAAATCCCACCTGACTAGTTTATTAGAATTCTTTGAGAAGTGAACTATATAGGGAGATAAAGGGTGACTTTCACAAAAAGGCTTTGTAAAGTTTCTATCCAAAGCCTATTAATAAAATTGATTCTTTATAGAATTGGGCAGAGGTGGGTGGCGAGTGGGCGGGAGTCAGTCTATTTTTACATGGATAGAGAACTGGCTTGGAGACAAGAAAGGAGGGTGGAGGAGATAAATGGATGCTTTTGCAAATGGAGAACTAGGGTTCCCTGGGAACAGGTCTTGAGTTTGGTTTACCCAGTGCTTTGTACACATGGATTGAGCTCCCAGTGTGTGCGGGTCCTGCAGTAAACATGGGGACATCAAATGAAGGACTCAGTCCCCAAGTGTGCTCAGTGAAATCTCCAAGTTTGCTGAGGACAGGAAGCAACTCCAGGGCTACAAATGCCAAGACATTGAGAGAAAGCAGAAGAGGTAGCTGGGGGAGTGGAAGGAGCCCTCCACCTCAGATCTAAGGCATTGCACCAGCTCTGTCACTTCTCTGTGTGGCTCGGGTAAGGTCTTTCCCCTCTCTGGTTCTCAATGAAGGAATAGATTAGACCTGTAAGGGTGAACAGCTCTGGATGGAGGACAAGGACTTAAAATAGGAACTGGTTATGAGATGGCCTTCCATTTCTTAATGTCCCAAACATTCTCTTCTTTCCCTGCACTGTGGTGGGGGACCGTGTGCGTGCGCACCCTTTCTCTCTCTCTCTCTCTCTCTCTCTCATTTGTGAACAGTGACGATGAGGCAGAGAGCCATGAGGTCTGTGATGCTGGGGCTCAGAGCCCAGCCTGGGATTCCTCAGTGGCATTTGCTGTGAATGAGTCAGCATCATAAATAGCTCCCATCTGGATAAGCAGTGATATCTATAGCGATCAAGCCATCTCTATATCCACACACACTCTCTCTGTGCAAATATGTGCTCACTGTATACTAAATATGAGGTGGCCTGGAGACGTTCCTCCTCTTAAAAGACTATTTGGTATGAAACTGAAGACTGTTTATTTAAAGAAACAAGTTTACAACTATGCACAGTGGATTGCTGGTAGTGGGTGGTGGGGAAGAGATGATGTGGAGGAAGGGATGCTGGGTACCATCCAAGCTTGGCCAGCCACCTGGGAGAGGAGCTGAGGTCTACCCTTGGACCTTCTGTCTCCATCAGAAGGGGCAGAGCTTGAGGTTCTAGGATGGGGTAGGGCGGGGGCAGGGATGCTGAGAGCTGTAATGCAGCAGAAAGAGCACAGGACCTGGTGGAGACAAGAGAGCCAGGTTCTTGCTCAGCTCTGTCCTGCTAGTTATCTTGGGAAATTCATCAACTCACTCATTCATTCATCCACCATGTACCACACCCCTACAGCATGCATGGGTTACTGGGCTAAGAATAGGTAGGTTGGAATTCAGCCTTAGTCACTTCCCAGCTGTGTGTCTTTAGGCAAGATCTTCCACCTCTCTGAGCTTTTGTTTCCTCATCTGAAATACCCACCTCAGGTTTTGGCAGAGTGAAGGGGGTACCATGGAATAAGAGAATGCACCTGAAAGCACCTCTCTATTGTAAACAGCTCTGAAGATGCAGTCTGACACAGTTCCACCATCTCGCCCACCACCTCACCCACCTCAGTCCAACTTAGGAGTGTCCCTGGTGATCACAAGCAGACACAACATTGAGACCCCCTCCAGTGGAGCCCCGGGGGGGGTCACTGAACACCACCCATGGCAATGACCGTGGGCAGTACCCTTACCTTTGCTTCCTGGCTGAGTTGGGATGCAAGAGCCTTCAGGCACTGAGTAGAGCAGAGACCATGTCAGAGATGCACTTCCTGGAGGAGGAGAGAGAATTTGGAAGTGAGAAGAGCTTATGCGGGATGAGAGTGTGTTGCTTCCTGAATGAGTGGGGACCCCAGGTGCCAATGAGGACATGCCCTCACTTCTCTCAATGTCACCACTGCTCGCTTGGTTCCAGCAAAGGGCTACACAGGATGGGACCCCCTCTGGCATCAGACTCAACTCCTGACTCTACTTCATCTAATCTGATAGCAGCTGTCCATCTTATCAACTGGTTCAGAAGACGCTTGCATCATACCACTGGCCACACTATTCTCCAACATGACAGTGGTCTCTCATCAATGTCAACAGACAGGTTTTATTGTTAATCAACAGGGACATCCATTACATCTCTTTGGCCCTCAGCTTCCTCATCTGTAAAATGGGATTTCTGATAACTAACTTCATACATGAAGAGCTTATGGTCATGATGACTGTTTAAATAAGATAATTTCTGTGAAAATATCAATTACACTGAGGCCCCCCCCTCCAAATTTTGGTTACCATCCTATGTTATTCTACGGGGCACCAAGCATTCCTTAAGAGGCAAGGGTTGACTCTTTTATGACATTTCCAGACCTTGCACAAGGCTTTGACAGAATGCTGGTGTCCAACCAGCTTTTGTTGATTAAACCTTGTTTCCACAAGTCTGCTAGAGTTGCTTTCATGATTTGAGGATTAGAGGGGCCGCTGTTCCCTCCCCATTCACAGAGGACAGAACAGGTGCAGAGAGGAGATGATCTGGTCAAGTTCCCACGGGGTTAAGAGTGGGTCTGGGATCTGAACCTATATCCCTCGCTCTTTCCACTCCAGCTGCTGTTCTCTGTTGAGCTGGGGCCTCTGTTGGCTGAGCACCAAGGTCCAGGCCAATGAAGGGTTTGCAATGTTCACTCAGGTCACTTCTTCCTTGTACAAACTGCCACTTCCTCCCCCACTGTCTCTTTCCTCTTCTTTCCAGTAGCCATAGTCCTGCTCCCAGTGGCTCCAGGGAGCAGATATTTTTGTGTCATTTACTGAAATGGGGTTCCTGTTCAGAAGAATGAAGAGTCCAGCCCACAGAGGCAGTGTGGGGTGAAGCAGAGATTCCAAAGGAGAGGGCCAGCTCTAGGACTTGATCACCAACTTAGATTATGAAGCACTCTGACTCCTCCGTCCCAAACGCTTGATCGTGCTTAACTTTCTCCATGGCATTATACCCTCTGCACATCCCCTTGCCTCCAATCCCACTGTCCAAATAGGAGCTCCTGGGGCAGGGACCTGGTGTTTTCCAGAGCTCGCACTTAGCAGAACTTGGTAAGTATCTGCTGAATGATGAATGAATGCAGACTCGGTGGTTGAAGGAGAGGGTGGACCATGTTCTAATCGTTGGTGTGGCATAGCAGTGAAAGGGACAGACAGGATGCCTTCTCTCAGGGAACTGACAATATTTGAATTTAAAGTTTCAGTTGGATTGGAAATGGGCTGAATTACTATTTTCTAACTGGCTGGGGTAGGGAGCTGGGGGAGGAGTGGTGGAGAGGTGGAGCCTTCTAGACAGCAGGGGCATGGCATCTCAGCCAAATGTCCTCAGGCAGGGCTACCTGGGTTCAGGGTCAGTCAGGTGGCTGATCTTTAAGAAGCCAAGAGAAGAAAATGGATGGTTTCTCTAAATGCTTAATGTCAACCTCTTACTGAGACCCAGACAGCTAGCACACAGCTGGCACATAGTAGGTACTTAGTCAACTTTTATTGGAGGAATACAGGTGGGCAGAGAACACATGAGGCTGGCTTAGGTCCAGAGACTGTGGGAGTTAAAGTGCTAACTGTCATAGGGCTATGCCTTGTACTTGAGTGAGACTTCACTCTGTAGAACCCTCTGCCTGCTGGTTATCCCCTCTGTCTCTCTATGTCCCCTGTCCTTACGTCCCAATGTTTAGAACATGCTCAGAAGCCTGGCAAGGCCAATGTCACACAGAGGTGGCAGGGAGGCTTAATGAAAAACCCAGTATCAATATATAAAAAGCTCACAGCACAACAGGGACACAAACAGGAAAGCAGGTGGTTAAAAATGGCCGTGTGGTTCCCACACTGATGCAGGTTTGCAAGGGGCTTCACTCTGCTGGGAGCAGCAGGGTGGCTTCCCTGAGAAGTGAGTTTGGAGGTAGTGGAAGCCTTCTTACAGAAGGCTAAGAGCAGTGGAGTGGGAAGGAATAAGGAACAGCATCTGCAAAGGTATGGAGGGAGTATGGTTCAGTTAGGGAACTTGGAAGAGTGTGATTTGGCTGGAGCCTTGGGGTGAAAAGAAATTTGGCAGGTTGTTGGGGCACATTTCTGAGGGTCCTTAGAGGATCCCCGAGGGTTGGAGGGCCACTAATAGGCTCAGCTTTGTGCCTCTGGAGAGGCCCTGCGGGGAGAGGTGAGGAATGGGGACTGAGAATGGACTGTGGGACTCTCTTGCCAGCCTACAGACAAAGAGAGGCTTGAAGGTAGTGGCTCAGGGTAACAAAGATAGTAGGAGTAGGGAATAGGATTTGCTTGATGAAGTGTGGAGTTGAGGGAGAAGGGGACTCAGCCTCCTGGGTTGGGTGGAGAGATGACATAGGAGAGGCCATAGGAGTCAACTCTGCCATTGGATGACTCACCCTGAGGTTAGAGGTCCTCTCCTGGCCCCCAAGAAAATCACAGTGGCAGGCTCTAGTCCCATCCCCATTCCCAGGCCCAGGCCTAGCCCCAGCATCTGACTGAAGGCTCCCAAACTGTGTCCTACCAACCTGGCAGCCCTCACCTTGGAACGCCAGCCTCTGCTCATTCCTCTTCTGATTGGACTGGAAGGTGGAGCTGGGACGCCTCCTGACCACTCAGCCGACTCAAGGAACTGTCAATCATGGACAGAGGTGGGTCTGGACCCTGGGAAGGATTCTGGCTTGGGAGTCTTGGGAGCTAGGGTCTGACTTGAGGGCTAATGTTCAGTCTGAGTGATCTTGGATAAGTCTCTTCTCCTCCACAGGTCTGTTCAGATCCTTCTGTAGAATAAGAAGGTTGGACAATGCCATCGCTGGAGTCTAACATTGCCTTAGCCTGATCGACCTTGGTTGATGTTTCTTGGTTAGATGTTCACACAGATGTTGAGTGTCATACTTCAGGGATTTCAGTCCCGGTTAACTTGGACAAGTCACTTCATCTCTGAATCTAGATCTTTTTTTCCTCTGTGAAATGGATGGCTCGTGGTTTCTTACTCAAAGGGCTATGATAGTCAGTTGAAGTGATATAAAGTGCCTTTATAAATATCAAAGAGCTACACAAAAGTTATTTATCCTATTTTGTCACGTGGGTTGTCACATCTCCTTAAATTTAGTACCTAGGGTAGGTGCCTCTCTTCTTGGCCTCCCCCGAGTTTCTGCCAGCCCTGTCGGTGCTGCCTGCACCGCTGACAGCCAGTGGCTGATGGGTTTATTTTCCAGCAGGTGAGTCCTGAGATGCATCACCTGGCTTGTCCTTTGGCTGACCTGCTCTGGAGATGGTAGTGGGGCCTGTGGACCTGAGGGAGATCCAGGAGGCTACTTTGACGTGGGCTTAACCCCATCTAGCCTCTCACTGGCTGCATGACTGAAAGAAGTCACATCACCACAACTTAGATTATGCTACCTCTTTGCCTCACAAATAGATTCTACCACGCAGCCTTCAAGGCCACCTTCCACCCTCACCGTCCACCATTCTCCTCCTTGCTCACTTCATTTTTTGCAGTACTGGGGATTGAACCCAGGCCCTAAGCAAGTACTCTACAACTTGAGCCATGCTCCCAGCCCTTTTGTTTGTATTTTGTTTCTTACCTTGCCCAGGCTAGCCTCAAACTTGAAATCCTCCTGTCTCTACCTTCTGAATAGTTGGGATTACAGGTGAGCACCACCATGATCAGCTGCTCACTTCATTTCTATCTTGCAACCTTGTCAGTTTTTTTTCCTGCCCCAAGCATCCTCCTGCCTAGATGCTTGTCCCATACCTTTCCTCTTCCATTTGTTGAGATGCTAGCTTCAGTGTCTCTTCCTTGAGGTCTTCCTGGATATCTTATCTAAACAACTCCCTCTTTGTTTCTCTCCTAGCATTTATGGGATTTGGCAAAATTATTTTATGTGTTTAATTGTTTATTTTCTGTCTTCTCACTAAAACATGAGCTCTGGGAAGGGATGGCCCTTGTCTGTCTTATTCTTCATCATCTCTCCAGCTCCTAAAATGGGCACTGGGATAGGGTGAGACAAGGGGAAGGGATGAGCCGGCTTGAGTAGAATCCAGTCCTGGGTTTAGTGGCAGGGACAACACCTGGGGCAGGCACTGTTCCCACTCTGAACTAGCACTGAAAGCCAGTCTGCTCGCCATGAGCTGGGTTCTCAGTGAGTGTTGATGACCAGGGAGCCATTCCCTGGGCTTCAGCTTCCACATTTGGGAATTGGGATGATACCTCTAGTCCTAAAAGGTTACTGGCAGCATCAAAGGCATATTTGCAGGGCTGGGGACATGACTCAAATGTTAGAACACCTGCCTAGCATTTGTAAGGCCCTGGGTTCAATTCCCAGTATAACAACAACAACAAAAAAAACTAAACTAAAAAAAGGCATGTTTTCACATGATCTACCACTAGACAAAATGACCAGTAAAGCCTGGCAGTTCATTTCCCCATTTTACAGATAACGAACTTGAATCTCAGAGGAATGACAGGACTGCCCCAGAGTGCTGGGTCTGGGGTTCTGTCCTGATGGAGGTACGCCTGGCTCTGCTCCCTGTTCTGAGTGGGTGTTCAGCACTGAGATCTGCAGCTCCACTCCTCTGCCATCTGCTGCTTGAACTGCAAGACCCGACATGCCCGCCTGGCTGTCACAGTTTCCCGACGAGTCAGACACAGGAATTCTAATGGCTGGTTTTTGTGGAACACAAAGACCTGCCTCTTGCAAATGTAGAGATATATTTTTCTCTGCGTTGGCAATTACTATGTGGAATGTCTCGGGAGCATTTTTCATCTCCA